CACCTTGGGGGTGGAAGAAACAACCCGTGACCCTCGGGGCTGCCCTGAGGGGGGGGTGATGGTGATGACGGTGGGGGCCCAGCACCCCATCTCCCACCTTGCTGTAGTCGGCCCCCAGCTCCAGGCCCTGTGCCCTGCCCAGGACGCTGGCGCAGGAGGTGCAGCGCGGGTCGTCCCCAGTAACCCCAGTAAAACTCACACGTCTGTACCATTACTAGAAGCTCTGGCTGCAGCCGGCCCTCACCTTGGGGGATTTTAGATGCTCATCCAGGTCGTAGGACCTGTCGAGCTGCAGCACCTCCCACAGCCCCGCGCCGCTCTTGCATTCCCTGGAAGGCAAAGGGACATGGATGGTGTGACCCCACATTAGCCCTCCGATGTACAAGGGCAGAGGTGGGCTCCTGTGGCACCCACCGGTACGTGGCACTGAGGTTGGAGTCCCTCCTGAGGTTGAGCTGTCGGGTGAGGTTCATGGATGGAGGCAGGTTCCCGGGGGTATCAATGAACTGGGGCAAATTGGAGGAAAAAGAGGGTTAGGGTCAGGCACAGGCATTCCCAGCAACGATTTTGGGGGTGCTCTGCCCTCACAGGTGTGTCCTGGGGTACCCGATCCCAACCAGAGCTAATCTTGCCTTTATTTTTGTGATCCCCATTGCAGAGCCTCACCGGGCGGTGTTCGGAGGGAAAGCAGTGGATGGCCCCGTGCAGGGACCTGCCTGTATGTGCGCGGCCACGGACGAGCCCTCACCCCATTCCCAACCCTGCTCCCGGCCCTGGTGCAGTGTACAGGCACCCCAGGGATCCCCAAACAACCGGAGGACAAGGGTGCTGCAGGTAGGAGCGTCCTCACCTCGAGCAAATTAGCAGCCCAAGGACAAGACGAGCCCTCACCCCATTCCCAACCCTGCTCCCGGCCCTGGTGCAGTGTACAGGCACCCCAGGGATCCCCAAACAACCGGAGGACAAGGGTGCTGCAGGTAGGAGCGTCCTCACCTCGAGCAAATTAGCAGCCCAAGGACAAGTCCCTGCTGCTGCTGCAAATCCAAGGACCTAGTCTTTAAGCTTAATCTTCTGGTTTAGGATGGGGGTTTTTCTGGATGGGTTTAGAGGGAGGATGCAGAGTGTTTGGAGGCATTTTGGTGCCCCCAAGCAGAGGTTTGTGGGGCCATGGGTGGCTGCGTGGCTGCCCACCTTGTAAATCTCCTGGTTGACCCAATTCCTGCAAACCAACGTCTGGATGTTGCCCCCAACCAGGAAGGTGGCGAAAACCAGGAGGATGAGGAGCCAGGAGAACAGGAAAGCCAGGCCCACGCCGCTGAAAGAGGGAGAGGAGGTGCCGGTGGCAGCTTTGCAGACCCGAGCGAGCAGAAAGGCCTGTGGGGACCTGCCCAGCCGGCTGCAGCCCCGCGGCTCCCTCCCGCGCCCGGGCACGCCGGGCTGCCTGGGAAGGGCCCCCGGGAGCGGGGTGTGCCGGGCAGCGGGATCGGGGTACGGGACCTGCCAGCTCCCAGGGAGGAGCGGCTTCTCCCAAACCCGCAGGCACAGGCGGTGGCTTCAAAAGCCTTTCCGCTCGTCCCGCTCCCAGTCCCTCCCTTGGCTTTGCCCCTCTGTTTTTTGGGAAGGTGAAATGGCAACACACACCCCCAACTCACCCACCCCCCCAGCACCCAGAGAGATGCTTACACCAGGAGAAACTTGGCGCCAGCTTCTCCTCGGCACTCGTAGTCACTCGGGTCCTCCCGCTTGGAGAGCCCGTACGCCCCCAGGGCCATCCCCGTCACGTTGCAGACGAGGATGAGGAGGATGATGGAGCACAGCACGGTGCCCGCGATCCACCTGGAGGAAGGAGCAGCAGGGCATGGCCTTGAGATATGGGGCTGATGGACCAGCTGGGGCTTGGAGGGGGGCTCAGCGCCCATCTCTGCCGCACCCCCTGCACCCCTTCATGCTCCCTGGTGTCACCTGTACCGCTCGAAGCGCTCCACCTCCCGGAGGTACGGCCGGCTCCTGTCCTCCGCCTTCACCAGGGCTTCGCTGACGGGCTGGGTGTAGTCGGGGAGGGGGAAGCTGTTGGCGATGGACTGCACCTTCTCCGTCACGTGGGCCATCTCCTCCCGCAGATCTGTGGGGTCGAGGCCATGCTGGAGGGGTCAGATGGTCCCTTCGTCCCACCCTATGTCCCCAAAGAGGGATGTGCCCCACAGAGGGTGTCCCTGCTCCGTCCAGCCGTCCCACTCACCCTGGATGACCTGCGCCATCCTCTCCACGGCCAGTTCCGGGATGGAGTTGAAGGTGCCGTTGCCCTGTGAGGAAAGAAGGGTTGCTGAGCAGCTCAAGGGGGGCTGCCTGTGGGTGCCAGACCCCCACCCACCCCCTGCCACCATGGTGATGACGGTGGGGGCCCAGCACCCCATCTCCCACCTTGCTGTAGTCGGCCCCCAGCTCCAGGCCCTGTGCCCTGCCCAGGACGCTGGCGCAGGAGGTGCAGCGCGGGTCGTCCAGCAACGCGACCACGCGCCGACGCCGTTCCCTCAGCGCCGGCTCCAGCTCGGCCCGCGCCGACGCCAGCGCCCGCGCCGTCTTGTCGAGAATCTGTAAATGGTGCAGCGAGGTCTGTAGGTCTTAAAGAGAAAGCCCAGGGCTAGTTCACGCTGCTCCCCTCGGCCGCCCCGGCTCTCCGGCGAGGCTTTTCAGGCACTGGCCCCCGGGGAGAGCCACGCTCGGCCGTACCTCCAGCCCTGTCCTGCAGGTCCGCCAGCGCCGCGTAGGTCATCGCCTTCAGCTGCGCGTGGATGGAGAGCCCCACGCTCCGGCTGAGCCCTGCAAGGCAGCGGGCACCCCGTTGGCATCTCATCAAGCTTGGAGCGGTTCCCCACCAGTCCCCGGCGCAGTGCTTACCCCCCAGGTCCGAGATTATCTGCTGTCGGGGCACCTCAAACTGGTCTACCACCATCTGCACCCCCTGCCAGGAGAGAGGAGCCGGTCGGCCGGGGGTAGCAGCCGCTGGGAGGGGAGGAAGCGCTACGGTGCCATTCAAAATACATTTTTAATGCAGCCGCCGCCTCCTCTGGCCTCCCAACCTGCTCCGTGAGGGAAACGCAGCCCTCCCTGGGCTGCACCTCGTGCCAGGACCCACCTGGGGGATGTTGGCGATGTGCTGGCGCAGGGTGTGCAGGGTGGTGGGCACGGCCCCCAGCCCCGGCTCCATCTGCGCCTTCACCCGCTGGCTGGTGACGAAGGCGCAGACCACGCTGGTCCTGCCGGGGACAAGCAGGAGGTGATGGGGGGCAGAGACACCCCCCCTTTGCCGTGGGGCACCACCCTGGGGCGAGGGGGCCGGTTGGCGGGGTGCTTTGGGGGACTCACAGGATGACGAGGGAGGTGAGGGAGAGGCAGGCCAGCAGGCAGTGGCGGCGGCAGGTCAGCGAGCGCCGGTGGGCACGCAGGCGGCCCCCGCACCGCCGGCGGCTCCGGCAGTAGCAGAAGCACATCCCGGCCACCGGCACAGCCACGGTGAAGAGCAGAGCCACCGCGGCGCAGACCACGTAGCCCAGCTCATACTGCACCACCTACGTGATGGGAGAGCGCAGTCGGCACCGCTGCACCCGGTTTTTGGGGTGCTCCCTGCGCCCCCATCCCGGGCGGGTGCGTCCCATGGGATCCCCCACCCCTCATCCTGACTCACCTGCGACGTCCGCACCGAGCCGGGGTCATTGAGGGCCGCCCGGAGCAGCTCTGCAAAAAAAACCACGGCACCAGTAACGGATCCCACCCGATGCACCCCAAAACCTCCCAGGGCTGCAGGGCTGGGGCAGAGGAGCATCCCCCTCTCGGATCCCAGATCCCATGGAGCAGATCCGGACACGGGGATTTCAGCTGGCACAACCCCAGGGGTCCCAGCACCCATGGTGGTGGGGTCTCAGCACCCATGGAGGTGGGGTCTGAGCACCCGTGGTGGTGGGGTCCCAGCACCCATAATGGTGGTGTCCCAGCACCCATGGTGGTACAGTAACGGATCCCACCCGATGCACCCCAAAACCTCCCAGGGCTGCAGGGCTGGGGCAGAGGAGCATCCCCCTCTTGGATCCCAGATCCCATGGAGCAGCTCCGGACACGGGGATTTCAGCTGGCAAAACCCCAGGGGTCCCAGCACCCATGGTGGTGGGGTCTCAGGACCCATGGAAGTGGGGTCCCAGCACTCATAGTGGTGGTGTCTAGGCACCCGTGGTCGTCCCATGGGATCCCCCACCCCTCATCCTGACTCACCTGCGACGTCCGCACCGAGCCGGGGTCATTGAGGGCCGCCCGGAGCAGCTCTGCAAAAAAAACCACGGCACCAGTAACGGATCCCACCCGATGCACCCCAAAACCTCCCAGGGCTGCAGGGCTGGGGCAGAGGAGCATCCCCCTCTCGGATCCCAGATCCCATGGAGCAGATCCGGACACGGGGATTTCAGCTGGCACAACCCCAGGGGTCCCAGCACCCATGGTGGTGGGGTCTCAGCACCCATGGAGGTGGGGTCTGAGCACCCGTGGTGGTGGGGTCCCAGCACCCATAATGGTGGTGTCCCAGCACCCATGGTGGTAGGGTCTCAGGACCCATGGAAATGGGGTCCCAGCACCCATGGTGTTGGGGTCTCAGGACCCATAGTAGTGGGGTCCCAGCACCCATGGTGGTGGGGTCTCAGGACCCATGGTGGTGGGGTCCCAGCACTCATAGTGGTGGTGTCTAGGCACCCGTGGTGGTGGTGTCCCAGCACCCGTGGAGGTGGGGTCTCAGCACCCATAGTGGTGGTGTCCAAGCACCCATGGAGGTGGGGTTCCAGCATCTGTGGTGGTGGGGTCTCAGGACCCATGGTGGTGGGGTCCTAGCACCTTCATTGAGGGCCGCCCGGAGCAGCTCTGCAAAAAAAACCACGGCACCAGTAACGGATCCCACCCGATGCACCCCAAAACCTCCCAGGGCTGCAGGGCTGGGGCAGAGGAGCATCCCCCTCTTGGATCCCAGATCCCATGGAGCAGCTCCGGACACGGGGATTTCAGCTGGCAAAACCCCAGGGGTCCCAGCACCCATGGTGGTGGGGTCTCAGGACCCATGGTGGTGGTGTCCCAGCACCCGTGGAGGTGGGGTCTCAGCACCCATAGTGGTGGTGTCCAAGCACCCATGGAGGTGGGGTTCCAGCATCTGTGGTGGTGGGGTCTCAGGACCCATGGTGGTGGTGTCCCAGCACCCGTGGTGGTGGGGTCCGAGCACCCGTGGTGGTGGGGTCCCAGCACCCATGGTGGTGGGGTCCCGATGGGGTCGGTCCCAGCACCCATGGTGGTGGGGTCTCAGGACCCATGGAGGTGGTGTCCCAGCACCCGTGGAGGTGGGGTCCCAGCACTCATAGTGGTGGGGTCCCAGCACCCATGGTGGTGGGGTCTCAGGACCCATGGAAATGGGGTCCGAGCACCCATGGTGGTGGTGTCTAGGCACCCGTGGAGGTGGGGTCCCAGCACCCATAGCGGTGGTGTCCCAGCACCCGTGGTGTTGGGGTCTCAGGACCCATGGCAGTGGTGTCCCAGCACCCATGGTGGTGGGGTCTCAGGACCCATGGAAGTGGGGTCTGAGCACCCATGGTGATGGTGTCCCAGCACCCATAGTGGTGGAGTCCCAGCACCCATAATGGTGGTGTCCCAGCACCCATAGTGGTGGTGGGGTCTCAGGACCCATGGAGGTGGGGTCCGAGCACCCGTGGTGATGGGGTCTCAGGACCCATGGTGTGGTGTCCCAGCACCCATGGTGGTGGGGTCCTGGCTGGGGGCTCACCTGTGGGCAGGGGGTTTTGCTGGATGAGGTCCAGGCAGCGCCGGACGAGGCCGTAGAGGGGATCGAGCGAGCTGGGCACCCGGTGCAGCGCCGGCACCCGAATCTCGGCGTGCCTGTCGGTGAAGCGGAGGACGCCGCCGGCCAGGTGACATTGCTGGGTGGCAACGGGACGCAGCAGCACCCAAGCCAGCAGCAAGCCGGCCGCTCGCATGGCTCCGGCGGCGAGGAGAGAGCCGGGGAGGGGGGAGGCTCCGTCAGCCCGGCAGCGGGCGGAGGGACATGCCCGGCTCCTCCGGATGGTTCTCTCCGGCTCCGCTCCCGCTGAGGGAAACCTGCCTGACGGGTCGGTCTCCGAGCAAAGCCCAGACGCTGCCGTGGCTTGTTCCTGCGATGGGCTCCGCTCCCCGGGGCGGCTGGGCTTGGCGGGGCTGCGTGGAGGCGTCTCCCAAATCATCCCAGGCCTGTTTCGCAACCCCGGGCACCCCTGAGTCACCCGCCCCCAGGTCCCCACGGTCAAGGCTGTTCCCCAAAATGGGTTGCAAAGCCCTCCCTCCGCCTCCCCGGGTTTTCGGGGAGAGGGTCAGGTGGTGGTGAACCCCCTGTCCTCAGGGTGGAGGATGCTTGGGCTCACCTGGGAAGGAGGGATCTGGGGTTTGGGCATCACTTGGGGGGGGAAAAGCCTTTTTGGGTGGATTTGTGCCTGCAGCCGGGGTCCCCGCGGGGCAAAATCAGCCTTTGCAAAAAGCCCTGGGGCAGCACCGCGAGCGATGGGCTGGGAATGAGGAGGGAAAATGAGGGGAACACACGGAGAGGGACAATGAGTCCTGGCCAGTAAGGCCAGCCAGGTGTGAGATGAGTTTTCCAGGCTCAGCTGGTCCCTGCCTCACACCCGGAGACTCCTTCCCAGGGCCGGATCCTGCTCGCCAGCCTGGGCCGAGCGCTAATTACAGGGTTGGCTTGGAAACGAAGGAGGTTCAACCTGGTTTTCCCGGTGCAGGGTGGGGGGGGGAGCAGCCCCCGTGTGCCCAGACGGCCGCGGGGCACCCCGAAAGCTGGGCCCCCTCCTCGGCCGGGCGAGTCGAGCCGGCCCTTCCCCGCCACCGCCTCCGTCTTCCCGGCGTTGATGCTAATCCGTGTGGTTTCCCTCCCTCTGGAAAAGGGGCTTTTTCTCCCAGCTGGAGACGCCGACAGCATCTTTCCAGGAGGGTGCTGCTCCCCACCACCCTCTCGGGAATGAGATGCCGGGGACTGGAAAATCCTGCCCTGCTCAGCTCAGCCCTCGTCCTGGGACAAAACTCCCAGGGCCAGGAAAGTGTGGAGTGGGAGAGCCCTGACGCGCAGGGTACGCACACATTTATATATGGATATGAGATATATTTGCATACGGCAAAGGCGCCCCGGCCGCCCACACTGGTACTGGGACAGCACTGGTGATGCTGGTGGTGGTTTCCCATCCCAGGGATGATTTCTCTGATGATTTCTCATCCCAGGGATGATTTCTCTGATGATTTTCCATCCCAGGGATGGTTTCCCTGATGATTTCCCATCCCCACAATCTCCCATCCCAACGATGATATTTTTTTTAGGGGGGGGAGGAGGAGGAAGGTGATTTTCATGCCCAAGGGGAAGGGATGGGGTGGCACCAGTCACCCTGTGATGCCAACGTGTGTGTGTGTGCTACCCCCCGTGACAGACGTGAGAGGATTTGGGGGTACTTTGGGGTCGTTCTTTTCCTCCCCCTTTCTGGCCGGCGGGGCAACTGCTGCTCCCAGCTCTGGTTGAACCATCCCAGTAGCGTGGCCATAATGGGGAGCCCTTTGGGGACCCCCCCCAGGTGGCACTTATGGGGTTCGCACCTACTGGGATGGGGGATGCTGGTACTGGGGGTGGTGGTACCAGGATGTCAGTGCCAGGGTGGGGTAGAGCTGCAGGTACCGGGGATGGTGGTAACTGGATGGGGTAGGGATGCTGGTACTGGGAGTGCCAGTACCAGTATGGGGTGGGGATGCTGGTACTGGGAGTGCCAGTACCAGTATGGGGTGGGGATGCTGGTACTGGGGATGCCAGTACCAGTATGGGGTAGGGATGCTGGTCCTAGGAGTACCAGTACCAGTATGGGGTAGGGATGCTGGTACTGGGAGTGCCAGTACCAGTATGGGGTGGGGATGCTGGTCCTGGGAGTACCAGTACCAGTATGGGGTAGGGATGCTGGTACTGGGAGTACCAGTACCAGTATGGGGTGGGGATGCTGGTACTGGGGATGCCAGTACCAGTATGGGGTAGGGATGCTGGTCCTAGGAGTACCAGTACCAGTATGGGGTAGGGATGCTGGTACTGGGAGTGCCAGTACCAGTATGGGGTGGGGATGCTGGTCCTGGGAGTACCAGTACCAGTATGGGGTAGGGATGCTGGTACTGGGAGCGCCAGTACCAGTATGGGGTGGGGATGCTGGTACTGGGAGCGCCAGTACCAGTATGGGGTAGGGATGCTGGTACTGGGAATGCCAGTACCAGTATGGGGTAGAGATGCTGGTACTGGGGATGCCAGTACCAGTATGAGGTGGGGATGCTGGTACTGGGGATGCCAGTACCAGTATGAGGTAGGGATGCTGGTACTGGGAGTACCTGTATTAGTATGGGGTGGGGATGCTGGTACTGGGAGCGCCAGTACCAGTATGGGGTGGGGATGCTGGTACTGGGAGTACCTGTATTAGTATGGGGTGGGGATGCTGGTACTGGGAGTACCAGTACCAGTATGGGGTGGGGATGCTGGTACTGGTGATGCTGGTACCAGTGCTGGAACAGGGTGGGGATGCCAGTCCTGGGGCTGTGATGCTGGTGCTGGGGCAGTCATACTGGGACTGGGACAGTGATACTGGTACTGGGAGGGGGTGATTCTGGTCCTGGGAAGGTGATGCTGGCACTGGGGTGGTGATGCTGGAACCGGGGCAGAGATACTGGTGCTGGTACTGGGAAGGTGATGGTGGTACTGGAACGATGATGGTGGTACTGGGGCAGTGATGCTGGCACTGGGGCAGTGATACTGGTGGTGGTACTGGAGCGGTGATGGTGGTACTGGAGCAGAGATACTGGTGCTGGCACTGGGAAGGTGATGCTGGCGATAGGGCAGAGATACTGGTGCTGGCACCATAGCAGTGATGCTGCTACTGGGACGGCGATGCTGGTACTGGAGCGGTGATGGTGGTACTGGAGCAGAGATACTGGTGCTGGCACTGGGGTGGTGACACTGGTGCTGGCACTGGAGCTGCGATGATGGTACTGGGGCGGTGATGCTGGCACCAGGGTAGTGATGCGGGCACTGGGGCGGTGATACTGGTGGTGGTACTGGGGTGGTGATGATGGTACTGGGACGGTGGTACTGGTGCTGGCACCGGGGTAGTGATGTGGACACTGGGGCAGTGATACTGGTGGTGGTGCTAGGGTGGTGATGATGGTACTGGGGTGGTGATGCTGGCACTGGGACGGTGGTACTGGTGCTGGCACTGGGAAGGTGGTGCTGGTACTGGGAAGGTGATGCTGGCACTGGGGGCTCACCTGGGAAGGAGGGATCTGGGGTTTGGGCATCACTTGGGGGGGGAAAAGCCTTTTTGGGTGGATTTGTGCCTGCAGCCGCTGGCACTGGGGCAGAGATACTGGTGCTGGTACTGGGGCGGCGATGCTGGCACTGGGGCGGTGATATGGTGGTGGTACTGGGGCAGTGATGCTGGCACTGGGGTGGTGATACTGGTGGTGGCACTGGGGAGGTGATGCTGGCACTGGTGCGGCGATACTGGCGATGGTTCGGGGACTGTTGTACCCGCGGTGACCGCGAGGCGGCGCCACAGCCTCAGGCGGCACCGGTCAGGGGGCGTGGCCTCCCCAGGGTCCCCGCGGGGCAAAATCAGCCTTTGCAAAAAGCCCTGGGGCAGCACCGCGAGCGATGGGCTGGGAATGAGGAGGGAAAATGAGGGGAACACACGGAGAGGGACAGCGAGGCCAGCCAGGTGTGAGATGAGTTTTCCGGGCTCAGCTGGTCCCTGCCTCACACCCGGAGACGGCCGCGGCTCCTTCCCAGGGCCGGATCCTGCTCGCCAGCCTGGGCCGAGCGCTAATTACAGGGTTGGCTTGGAAACGAAGGAGGTTCAACCTGGTTTTCCCGGTGCAGGGTGGGGGGGGGAGCAGCCCCCGTGTGCCCAGACGGCCGCGGGGCACCCCGAAAGCTGGGCCCCCTCCTCGGCCGGGCGAGTCGAGCCGGCCCTTCCCCGCCACCGCCTCCGTCTTCCCGGCGTTGATGCTAATCCGTGTGGTTTCCCTCCCTCTGGAAAAGGGGCTTTTTCTCCCAGCTGGAGACGCCGACAGCATCTTTCCAGGAGGGTGCTGCTCCCCACCACCCTCTCGGGAATGAGATGCCGGGGACTGGAAAATCCTGCCCTGCTCGGCTCAGCCCTCGTCCTGGGACAAAACTCCCAGGGCCAGGAAAGTGTGGAGTGGGAGAGCCCTGACGCGCAGGGTACGCACACATTTATATATGGATATGAGATATATTTGCATACGGCAAAGGCGCCCCGGCCGCCCACACTGGTACTGGGACAGCACTGGTGATGCTGGTGGTGGTTTCCCATCCCAGGGATGATTTCTCTGATGATTTCTCATCCCAGGGATGATTTCTCTGATGATTTTCCATCCCAGGGATGGTTTCCCTGATGATTTCCCATCCCCACAATCTCCCATCCCAACGATGATATTTTTTTTAGGGGGGGGAGGAGGAGGAAGGTGATTTTCATGCCCAAGGGGAAGGGATGGGGTGGCACCAGTCACCCTGTGATGCCAACGTGTGTGTGTGTGCTACCCCCCGTGACAGACGTGAGAGGATTTGGGGGTACTTTGGGGTCGTTCTTTTCCTCCCCCTTTCTGGCCGGCGGGGCAACTGCTGCTCCCAGCTCTGGTTGAACCATCCCAGTAGCGTGGCCATAATGGGGAGCCCTTTGGGGACCCCCCCCAGGTGGCACTTATGGGGTTCGCACCTACTGGGATGGGGGATGCTGGTACTGGGGGTGGTGGTACCAGGATGTCAGTGCCAGGGTGGGGTAGAGCTGCAGGTACCGGGGATGGTGGTAACTGGATGGGGTAGGGATGCTGGTACTGGGAGTGCCAGTACCAGTATGGGGTGGGGATGCTGGTACTGGGAGTGCCAGTACCAGTATGGGGTGGGGATGCTGGTACTGGGGATGCCAGTACCAGTATGGGGTAGGGATGCTGGTCCTAGGAGTACCAGTACCAGTATGGGGTAGGGATGCTGGTACTGGGAGTGCCAGTACCAGTATGGGGTGGGGATGCTGGTCCTGGGAGTACCAGTACCAGTATGGGGTAGGGATGCTGGTACTGGGAGTACCA